GAGAGAAACCATATGCACATAGCCAGTGGTTGGGGGCATCTTGGTGGTTCAGTTGGTTAAGTGTCTGACTCTTGATCTCAGCTCAGGTCATGATCTCTTGGTTCATGGGATCGAGGCTCAGACTGGGCTCTGCGCTAGCAGTGCAGAGCTTGCTTAGGATTCTCTCTCTCTCTCTCTCTCTCTCTACCTTCTCCTGCTCACATGCCACATGTGCTCTCTCTCTCTCTTTCTCAAAATAAATAAATAAACTATTTTTAAAAATGGCCTGTAGTGAGACAAATCCGTTTGTACACAAAGTACTAAAAAGGCCAGTAGGGCTGGAACGCAGAGAAAAGCAGGAGAATCACAAAGCCTGTATTCAGTGAGTAAAGTAGAGACCAGACACATAGGACCTCAGGAGTCATGTTAAGGAGTTTATCTTCCCCAACCATTCATGAGCTTTATTCAGTCTTTGTTTCCAGTGGCTGGTCATTTAAACTTAGCTCATTCCATTTCTTTTAGAAAATTCTTTCTTCACATTGGGTTGGAATCATGTTTCCATCAGCTTCTAGATGCAGGCTCTTCCCCTGGAGCCCTACACAGAAAACCTACTGCTTGCACTATTGTCTCTCCAGATCACATTTCCCTTAACCTTCCTGCTACTAAGTTTAACCCATCCTCATATGATGAAGGTTCAAGACCATTTTTCATCACTGTTACCTTCCTGAGGACACATTTTGGTTTGTCAGTGTCCTTCCTCAAATGTCTTGCTCAGAACCAAACACTGGAGGTTGGGCCAGGTAGATAAAGACTTTTAGCCCCTTTGTTTAGGAGACTTAGTTTCTGTTGATGGAAGTCCTCCTGTCAATGCCACCTCACTCTGCTGATTCATAATAAGCTTGCAGAAAACTAAGACCTTTAAATCCATTTCTTGTAGACTGCTATTAAGCCAGGTGTTTCTCATCCAATATGTATGTAGACATTTATTTTTAATTTATACTTTCTTTATTTCGCAAATGACTGTCAGCCTAGAAATGAAACCAAGTATACATCAACACAGTTAAAATGAAGATCCAAGGGAGAGCAGAAATATGATATTTTCACAGTATTCTTTTTCTGTGTCTAAGTGCAGGGATGTATGTGGACACCCCCCCCTCCATTCAATTTCATCCCAGTGATTCAGGACTGTTGGTCCTGTTTTTCCAAATCCCTTTCTCTTATTTGAGATGTAAGCCACTCTCAGCGATGCATCATCTGATAATTTGCTGTTGATCACCATTCTTACCTACTTCTTCAAGGTCAGAAATCTCAGTTCCATCATTTACTGGCTGTGTGACCTTCAGCTGGTTAATGACCTTTCTGTACCCTACTGTTGTCAATGACATAATTGTGCCCCCTTCAGAGAGAGGTTGTGAGGATTAAATAAACAAACTGAGGGGGTTTCCCCATGCTTTATTTCCCTTCTTACTGGCTATATGAAGAGGATTCCCAGCCTAAGGGATGGCGAGGCTCCGAATCTCTCCACTGAGAAAAGCCACTCACCAATCAGGAACACCTACTTCAAACTCTCATGGGAGGGAAAACTAAGCTCTAACTGTGCTAAGACAGTTGTAGGGGGTTGCTTGCCTCCGTTTTGCATTCTTCCCAAATCTAAGAGGCACTACTTGCTGCTTCATTAATTCACAGGCAGAAAATGAGCTGCATTGGTCCTGGACCTATTTGCCCACAGGTCCACTCCTCCTCACCCTGCTCTGCTCAGCATCACAGCAGAAGCTGCAGGATGTGCTTCCCAGGCTCCCCCTCAGCTTGCTTCCTGTGTGTAAATGTAAGACCTAAATGTTAAGACAGGAAGCCATCAAAATCCTAGAGGAAAAGACAGGCACAACTTCTTTGATCTTGGCCGCAGCAACTTCTTACTTGATATGTCTCTGGAGGCGAGGGAAACAAAAGCAAAAATGAACTATTGGTACCTCATTGAGATAAAAAGCTTACGCACAGCAAAGGAAACAACTGACAGAATGGGAGAAGATATTTGCAAATGACATATTAAATAACAGATAAGCATCCCAAATCTATAAAGAACTTATCAAACTCAACATCCAAAAAACAAATAATCCAGTGAAGAAATGGGCACAAGACACGAACAGACACTTTTCCAAAGTCATCTACATGGCTAACAGACACGTGAGAAGATGCTCAACGTCACTCATCATCAGGGAAATACAAATCAAAACCACAATGAAATACCACCTCACACCCATCGGAATGGCTAAAATGAACAACTCAGGAAACAAGAGATGTTAGCCAGGATGCAGAGAAAGGGGAACTATTTTGCACTGTTGGTGGGAATGCAAACTGGTGCAGCCACTCTGGAAAATAGTATGGAGGTGCCTCTAAAAAATTTTTTTAAAAGAACTACCCTACAACCCAGCAATTGCACTATTAGATATTTATCCAAAGAATACAGCAGTGCTGATCCAAAGGGGCACATGCACCCCAGTATTTACAGCAGCACTACTGACAATAGCCAAAGTATGGAAAAAGCCCAAATGTCCACCAACTGATGAACGGGTAAAGACGACGTGGTATATATACACAGTGGAATATCACTTGGCCATCAAAAAGAATGAAATCTTGCCATTTGCCACTACATGGATGGAACTGGAGGGTATTATGCTTAGCAAAATCAGTCAGTCAGAGAAAGACAATATCATATGATTTCACTCATATGTGGAATTTAAGAAACAAAACAGATAAACATAGGGGAAGGGAAGCAAAAATAAGATAAAAACAGAGAGGGAGACAAAGATTAGAGTCTCTTAAATACAGAGAACAAACTGAAGGTTGCTAAATGGGCAAGGGGCATTAAAGAGGGCACTTGTTGGGATGAGCACTGGGTGTTACAGGTAAGTGATGAATCACTAAATTCTATTCCTGAAATCATTATTATACTATATGTTAACTAACTAGGATTTAAATTTTTTAAAAAAGGCAGGAAGAGAGAACAGCCAGGGTGTTTCTTCTGGCCATCTCTGGCAGTGCGCTTATCTCCTTCCTGCCACTAGTGTCCTCCAGACCCACTCAGTTCCACCAGCTTTCTCAGGTGACTCAGCCTCCAGGCTCCAGGTGTAACATCGCTTGCCCTTGTCTGTTGGGCTGTGGAGTGCCAGGGGCTTCCTACTACTCTCATCTCTGGTTGTCCCCTGCTTGGCATGTCAGCCCCTCTGTCCCCTATGTCCTTCTATCCCCTATGCATCCAACTGTCTCCGTGAAAGAGCTTCTGTATTAAATATTCAGGTGATTTCTGTTCTCTGGCTAAATCAATACCCAAGGAAAGGAATCATCGCTCTTCACACCATGGGTGAGACATTTATTAATAACGAGCTTTGAGGACTTTCTGTTTCATCTCTGATTCAGTAAATGGCAGATGCATTTCAGATAGTGAGCACTTTTGCTCCTTGTGAGTTTTCAGTTGGGAGTGTGGGTGGTGGGTTTTTTTGCTTTATTTTAGCCAGCCACAGGAGGCATATTTCCAAATTCCTCTGCCTTCCCCGACACAGTGCAGCCCTGGGACCCTACAAGATCCTCTTAACTTGTCTTGCTTCTCTATTCTTGGCCCTTCAATAATTGGTTTTCAACAAGCAACCAGATTAAGTCTTTTAAAAATCTAAGTCTGGGGGCACCTGGTGGCTCAGTCAATGAAGCATCCAACTTCAGCTCAGGTCATGAACTTACAGTTCATGAGTTCCAGCCCTGTGTCAGGCTCTGTGCTGACAACTCTGAGCCTAGAGCCTGCTTCAGATTCTGTCTTCCGCTCTCTCAGCCCCTACCCCACTCATGGTCTGTCTCTGTCTCTCAAAAATGAATAAACGTTCGAAAAATTTTAAACAGAAGAACAACCCCTCTCAACTTCCTCCTTCTTCTCCATAAAATAATGTTCCTCTCCTTTGTTTAAAAAAAAAAAAAATGTAAGTCTGATCAGGTCACTCCCCTGCTTAAGCCTGCTAATGGCTTCCCATTGCACTGGGAATAAAATCCAAACAGCTCAAGGCAGTCAGCTTGGCCCGAGGTCATTGCAGTGGGCCTATTGCCTCATCCGGACCTCCCACTTCTGCTGGTCCTTGGCCCTTTCTGTTTCTGCTTATTGTTTCCCCCATCCCCAGTCCATTTGTGCTCATCTGCTCCCCTGTCCCCCAGAACTTAGCAGAAGTTCTCGTCTTTCAAATCCAACTTAAATCACGTCACTACCCCTTGGCTATTTTCTATCCTTCCAACCTGTTTTTTCCCATAGAGCTGCTAATTAAGAAAAAATAGCTGGTTCATTAATTTGATTGCTTATGTGAGAGCACTGTCACAACAATCCTATTCCCCCACTGCATCCCCAGCATTTAAAAAATTCAAGACATAATTTGAATAAATGACCAAATCCCTATTTCTCCGATGAGGAGACTGAAGGCCACAAATGTTGAGTGACACGCACAGGGTCTCCCAACCCAAGATCTGATTTTACACCTTCTTGGCCCCTCTGCCATGCTGTTCCAAACAGACCCACCTCCTATCCTAGAACTTCTAAAGTTATGTGGCCAATACTTTACATGGTTAAGACAAGTGATTACCCCACCTTAGACTCATCTGTGGCTCATTTGTTTAATTAACACAGCTGCCTCTTGGCATTCCATGTTTCAGTGAATTTCAGCCACGTGAAAACCAAATAAACAATCATTATTAATTCCACACCAAATTTTGTTATGAATATACTCATTGCTGAAATGTGATTTTTCCTGGTTATAGATCCTCATATAAATGAATATAATGTTTGCATCTACACATAAAAGTTTAAACAATACCTCCTTCTCCCACTGTCTTTCCCTTGCCCTCAGCAATGGGCTCTTGAACTTTTACCTAGCTGACAGGTCTACCACGGTGCTATGTTCTATTCAAAGGTATTTCCCTTGAGGCCCTGGAGGTTCTTGTTATAATTTGACATTAAAAATAAATAACAAAGGATCATCTGGCCGGCTCAGGGATCATACCGACCTCAGCGGAGTTCCAAGCTCACACCAAAAATCTGAAAGGTCTGAAAGAGCTCCCAGCGTATTCTTCATGGAGTACAGAAAACTGAAAGAGGTGTGCATGCACATGCTGACAGCCAGACTAAGAGAGCAGTGCTGTCACATTTCATCTGCCAAAGGCGAAGAGAAAGGGCTGGATGTGAACTTCAAGATCAAGTCATGCTTTTGAGACCGAACTCTGAGGACATTCCTCAGGGCAACTAGGAGAAAATGTCTCAGGTAATAATATTTTCCCATACTGAAAATTAGGACACACAAATATAGAATGAAATTTCCTTTTTTTGGTTGTTTTTGTTTGGGTGTGTGCAAATACAGGTGTGTGTTTGTGTGTGCGTGTGTGTGTGCGCAAGTATTGATTCTGTGTATATGAAGAAGCCAGTCAAATTTAGAATAAACTTCAAAATGTTGGAATTTTCAGGATTCTGGGACTAATCGGTTTCAGTTATTAAACTGGAAAGATTTTAAAACAAGATTATCTCTAAAAGCACTATGTATAATATACAGTTGTGACTACCTTTAACTCAGTTTCTGAAAGAGACAAATGAAATACTTTCCATTTATTGCAAAAAAATCTTTCAATAGTTCAACTTGCCTATAAACTAGATTGGGAAATTTGTAAGCCAAAATTCAGGATTCTTTCAATTTTATAACTATATCTATATCTATCTATCTATCCATCCATCTATCTATATCTAATTTTATATATCTATATCTATCTATGTCTATATATATCTAATTTTAACCTCTTGTATAACTATACTAGTCTGCACAGGTGAGGCTATTGCTGCAGTAACATAACCCCCAAATCACAGCCTCTTAATTTGACACAGGTGTATTTCTTGCTTAAGCAACATTTCCATCAGAGATATGAATCCACTCCAGGAGGCTCTGCTCTAGACAGTTACCCAGGGATGTGAGCCAACAAAGGCTCCATGATCCTATAATGGTACATCTAGAACACAAATCTACCTTCTGGATCACCCATGCAGGGGAAGAGAGGCTGGAGAATTATGTGTAGGCTATTCAGTGCCCAAGTCCAGAAGATATACGTGTACCTTCTGCTCACATTTCTTTGGCCTAAATTAGTCATGTGACCTCACCTAACTGCACGGAGGCCTGGGGAATGTAAAGGAACAATTGCAACATTGGGTGACCACTACTAGCTCTGCACACAAACCTCCAGCCCCCAAGAACTGACCATTCACTTGACAGCCCCGCAGAATCAGACAGACTTACTTCCCAATTCCTCTGCTTAATGACTTGCAGAACTTGGGGCAATTTATTTAACCTTTCTGAGGCATGGTTTCCTCATGTATAAAATGGCAATAATGATGATGATAATGATGATAAATATGTTATCAGGTGTTTGTTAGAATTAAGTGAGCAGATTCATGTAAAGTACTCAGAACAGTGTCTAATACATAGTAAATCCTCAATACATGGTCTTTATAATTTTGAAGACAATGAGAAGGAAGATATCCAATTGCACAATTCTTATGGTGCCTTTAAGAATCTGTTGCCCTGGGAGTTCCTCATCTCCATATCCCAGGAGCACTAGAATGTCTGATCTATAATGGATGGTCAGAAAGTTTAAATAAATGTCGACTCTGTTGCCATCTCAATACTTCTGAAGTATTCTCCCCTGTAAGTCACAACTATCACTATTGCTATCTCCTCAACCAGGATGCCCTGCTCAGGTCCACCTGCCTTTTCAATACTATTCATCTTTGAAGCCTGCCACCACCACAGAGCCTTGTCACGTCATACTGGTCTGCGGGCACCACTTTCTCCCTCCTCACAGTTTCTACTTCTCTTATGTGGTCATTTTACATTCAACACTTAGATCTTCCAGTTAACAGGAATGATCAACTCTTGTAGTAGTATATTTTGTACTCCCAGCAACAATTCATAACAACAATGATAACATACTATTATTTTGCATTGCTCCCAGCCAGTTTCTGTACAACAGCATTTCTCAAACTTTAGCATGCCTCAGGGTCACCAGGAGTGAAACACAGATCACTTTCATTAAATCAGCCATCACTGGGCTCCGACTCAGTAGATCTTTAATAGAGCCTGAGAATTTGCATTTCTTTTGTTTGAATGTTTATTTTTGAGAGAGAGAGAGAGAGAAAGAGAGAGAGAACAAGCAAGGGAGGGGCAGAGAGAGAGGGAGACACCGAATCCTAAGCAGGTTTTAGGTTCTGAGCTGTCAGCAAAAGGCTGACACAGGACTTAAACCCACAGGCCGTGAGATCCTGACTTGAGCTGGAGTCCGCTGCTCAACCAACTGAGCCACCCAGGACCCCCGAGAATTTCCATTTCTAACAGGATACCAGGTGATGCGATGCTGGCAACCCTGGGGACCACATTTTGAGCACTGCCATTACACAAGATGTTTTAGATCTGTCATCTCGTTTAAGCCTCACCACAATCCTCGAAGGCTGTCAGAGCTTCCTCCTATAACTAGCCAATGACACTGAGGCCCATGGAGCTGGAAAAACTTACCCAAGTTTACCCTCCTGGTAAGTAGCAGATGCAAGACTGTGACTCAGCACTGGCTAACCCTTCATCACCAGGATGACTGTGGATATTGATTATTTCATGATATACAACAGTTCATTCCTTACTGAAATAAAGGTCCCCTTTCCCTTTGTATTAAAGTGTGCATCAAATTTGGAAATCCAGAGTCCAGGAACATTAAGATGTTTTTTGCTCTTACAGAAGTTTGCCCCAGCTCAAGATAAAGATGAATCTTTCCTGGTAACTGAAGCCCTAAATCAGAAGCATAATAATAGCATGGATACAAGAAGGAGGAAAGGAGAGCCGCGGCCACCACCCAGGGCAGCTCACAGAAGATCTCTTTCTTCCTGGAGGCTCAGGCTGCCTTTCCTCTGGGACCTCTGCCTTTCCTCGGTGTTTGCCTTTATGCACCAGTTGACATTTTGACTATTTCCTAAGGCATTCTGTGAGAAATAAAAATAAAAATAAATTGAAAGAGTATAGCACTGCCTCAGAGTAGCATCCCTGTAGGCTTAGTGCCCAGCAAGTCCGGAGAAACCAGGCTCCCAAAGTCTATTCTTGTCACCACATTGCCCTCTAGGGGCCATTGGTTTCTAGACAGAGGGAGAGTACCTTTGCTTCTCTGCCAAAATAAACGCTTTTGAGGTCCAAAGATGGGATGACCCCCAAGGATCATGGGAGCATGGCTTGTGATATTTGGAGAGATCTGCGCATTGAAAACAGAGAAAGAGAGACTGACAATGACCCATGTGACCCTCTTTCTCTTCCATGATTCTCTTACCACACCAAGCCCAGCGTCCTAGAGTACGTCATCCCCATCGAGTCTGAATGTCAACCCCATCTAGAATTGTGCGCTCAGATACAGAGTACACAAAAGCAAATGCAAATGCATGGAATGTGTAGAAGGGAAATGATCATGATGGTAAAAGAGACTCAAGATCATGGAACATAATTAAGAGAAGAATACTTAACAAGAAAACACTGAGGACACTGCAAAGCTTTTTCATACGTATCAAGTGTTGGCACCATTTCCAAAATGATGTTCTGCAAGATATTAAGGGGGAATTCCCTGCAGGAGAGCAAATGCATTTAAGGAATTTGGATGAACAAAGTCCAACAGATTTCTCTAATGCAGGACTTCTCAGGGCCTTCTTTTATATTATTATAGGTCTTATGAATCTCCAAGGAGGTCATGGGCATAGTGTGTTTGCCAGGCTTATTCAGTGAGAAACTCTTTTCCCCTAGAAATGTCTTTCACCTTCTCACAGGATATTGTGTTTTCCTGGAACACACATTAGGATTTATAGACATTTATATGATACTAGTTTCCCTATGTCCAAACTTGTTCAAACTCTAGAATAATTATGCTAGATGGCTAAAGTTTGTTCTGCACAGCCCTGGGAAGCAATAAAAATATAATAAGATGATCTAGCACTTTATAGTTTGCAAAACTTATGGATTCTCTAATACTTATAGCAATCCTGTGACGTATGCCAACCAGCAACTCTGTTATTTAAAAGTAACAGATGGAAGCCTCAAATTAAATCACCTCACTCACAGTTTCCTGGGTCTTTCTTTTCTTTTTTTCTTTTAATGTTTACTTATTTTTGAAAGAGCATGATCAGGGGTAGGGCAGAGAAAGAGGGAGAGAGAGAATCTGAAGCAGGCTCCAGGCTCTGAGCTGTCAGCACAGAGCCCAATACGGGGCTCAAACTCATAATCATAAGATCATGACCTGAGCCAAAGTTAACCAACTGAGCCACCCAGGTGCCACACCTGGGTGTCTTCTAAACTGAAGGATGAACCTAGTGAATTCTCCATCCCTGCAAGCATTTGAGCACTGTCTGAAGTCTACTTAACAGCCATAACTGCTACCTTTATGAAGTTATTTCTATCCTGTGCTAAGTTCATCTCATTACTTGTCACAAGAATCCTAGGAGGGATAAACTGTCATTCTACTAGTTTTCCAGATGAGGAAATGGGGGCTTACAAAGGTTAGGTGACCCACCCTCTGTCCTACAGTCAGACTTAGGTCAATCCAGAGCTTCATGTCTCACCATCTCACCTGTTTCAAGGAAGCTCAGGGTAGCACAAGGGGACGAATGACCTGTGAAGTTGTGATGCTCTCTGAGAGTCATATCTTAGGACCGGTTTTCACTGTGGGTGCCCCTATCCATTCCCTTCCCTCCCCATCACCTCCTGCAGCCTTAAAAGCAGGCTCAGCAGCTCCAGGAAATACCTGCTGGAAATAAGCAAAGTCAGTGTGTCTCATTATCTCCCCTGTGATGGTTTGCAAAGCATGTGGTCTCTCATATCTCTTTCTTTTTAATACTTTATGGTGAACAAGTTAAAGTTACTTTGGGGGACGGAATGCAGAAGAAAGCCCCTGTTTCTTCCAGAGAAATGATGACTACAGCAAAACTCTTAATATTCATGTGGTTTGTTGAAAGAGATACTCAGTCAACACCTTCTAATGATCACCTGAGGTATTAATTAGTTTTATAGTTTTGCTGTTACCTGTGCTTCTCTTTTCTCCCTCTGCTTTGTAAAAATTAAAATTGGAGAGGCACCTGGGTGACTCAGTCGGGGAAGTGTCTGACTCTTGTTTTTGGCTCAGGTCATGAGCTCACGGTTTGTGAGTTCAAGCCCCACAACACTGTCAGTGCAGAGCCTGCTTGGGATTCTCTATCTCTCTCTCTCTCTCTCTGCCCTTCCCCCACTTGTGCTGTCTCTGTCTCTCTCTAAATAAATATAGAAACTTAAAAAAATTAAAATTGGAGACCAAAAAACTTCCAAACATTTTAACAGCAAATGTTCAGGGGCTAGGCAAGAGGAAGTGATTATAGATTCCAACCAATTCAGAATCTGTGCTATAAAACAAAAGATATTCTCATGACTTATTACCTCCCATCAGTAACCATCCAAGATCATTTGAATGAGGTCTTTATCCCTCACTTTTCCACTAATAGGAATGTCACGTGTATTATTTGAAATTAGAGCCACAAACTCAGAAACACTACACCTCGCGATGAATTTTTCTTTTATTGAATCTCTATCTTAGTTTGCTAGCTCTGCCATAACAAAATACCACAGACTGGGGGGCTGAAGCAACAAAAGTTCATCTCCTCAGAGTTCTAGAGCCTAGAAGTCTGAGATCAAGGTGCCAGCACACCTACTTTCTTCTGAGGCTTCTCTCTCCTCAGCTTGCAGATGGCCACCTTCTTGACTTTGTCTTCACTTGGTCTCCCTCGGTGCCACTCTGTGTCCCAATCTCCTCTTCTTACAAGAACACAAGTCATACTGGATAGGGCCCATCCATATGACTTCCTTTTACCTTTATCACCGCCTAACGGCCCTATCTGCAAATACAGTCACATCCTGAGGAACCAAAGATTAGGATTTCAGCCTATGGACTTGGAGGGAACACAGTTCTGTCCCTAACAATGGCCAGTGCTTACTTAGCATCAACCATGGAAGTGGGACTGGAGGTACGATGCAGAAGATCTGCAGATCCTGTCCTCTTGAAGCCTATAGTCTGGTGGACATTCCAAAAAGAATGCCTAACACAGCATGGGGCAGCTGGGTACCACAGTCATAGACAAGGCTGCAGCCACAGCCACATAGGTAAAGTCATGCTCACAGTCTCTTATGACCAGCGCTCGGGCGCTGGTTTCTCAGCGTTTCCACCCTGCTGGTTGCCCAATCGCGCTGGCAGCTCTGAAGACTCATCCTGACCGCAAGGATTTGTTTCTGCTTTTGTTCCTTCTCTTCAGCAGAGACGTGTATGTGACGCCGGGCCCCACGAGTCCTGTCCGGACAGCAGTTGTGTATGGGTGGGTTCGTGAGACCTTTGAGGCCAGGAAGACTCTAAAATAGCAATAAACTGAGAGTCACTGCTCCTTTGTTCAAATCCCATCTTTACTATTGATTTCTTGACAGTGTGCAAGTCACATTACTCAGGCCTCCATTTCCTTATCGAGACGTGAGCGGTCTCGAGCATTCCATTGTTCTCACGGTGTTGTGAGGCAAGCGAGCAGGTCGTCAGCACGCAGCACCCAGACGACTGCACACGGCAGCCCTGCCCGCCAGCACCCTCAGGGGTTCCTTGGAAATAACTTAGGACCCGTGGAGGAGGGGAGACCGGTCAGCTGCCTCAGCTTCACCCACGGGTTCTGCTTTAGGTGCCTCATCTCTCGCACTCCTGCCTCAGATTTATGAGGTTTCTATGGCTGGAAAGCTTTGAAAAGCTCTACTGACTCAAGGGCTCATTCTGCTATTAACACCCCCATTAACGACTCGTGTCCTGAAGCCAGAAGCCCCGGTGGGAGGCGCCATTCCCAGCAGCCACTGCGAGTGTAGGGTCAGAGGCTGAGCTTCCGGCTCGCTAGGCTCGCTGGGCTGTCCTCCCTCAGGGAGCGCTGACCTGATTGTATCAGGGAAGTAAGAAAACAGGGCGCATTGCCCCGGGATTTAAGGGGTGAGGGGGGGGAATATCACGCTCCTGTCTAGGAAAATCACATGTCATTCGTTCACGGAGGCTTTTCCAGCAGTTACAGGATCCCCCCTCATTAAACCTAAATGTATTCCTCTTCTTCACCACGCCGCGCTGCATACACTTGGTGCTGTCACAGCCTGCCTGCATTGAGGAATCCCACACTGCTGTTTATTTTTAGCTTCCTTGCTTACGTTTCTATTTCAGTCTCAGCTCAGTGTTTTCTCTTCCTCATGGTCTTACATTGGTGAGAAGACCCAGATCTTTGGGCACAAGCTTTTAAGCCTGACAGTGTTTTGAGGGAGACCTTTGGGGTGGATATGTGGCAACCCTTATATGTGGCTCAGTAAATACAGTGTAGGCACTGACTATTTACTTTGTGCAAGTCTCTGTTCTGGAACGCTAAAGGTTTCGGGAATGAATCCGAGAGGGATCCTCCCTTTACAGACTTGAAAGCAACAATGGAGGTGGGGAGAAGTAATGCCCGAGCTCAGGGCCTCACTGCAACAAAGCTGGAAACCTTCCCTCTCCAGCCTGCAGGGATGTGGTTAGTGAGAGACAGTCAGCCTGGTGGGTGAGCAGTGATATTAAACAGAAAACCATGGTCTACCACTCGAGGGAGGCGTGGACCCTGGGTCCCCACACCCAGATGCCTGAGCCGCTTAGTCCCCCAGGAAACCTGATGCAGAAATAATCTCAGGGCATCTTTGCAGACACTCAAAACAAGAATCCCCCACCTCTGCAAGACTCTCCCTAATACAAAGGGGGCAGCCACCTTGATTTTTGACAGACTTGTGGTTTAGGTGACTGTGCAGAGAAGAGTTTAACATAGTAGGTCTGCAGCTACTATCCTTAGAAAGATCTGCTTGCAAAGTTAGCCCTTAGTTGACATCCCAGAACCTGGATTTCAGGAGGGAGCCACCATTCTCTAATTGATGAGAGTGGCTCACTGTGCCCAAGCAGGTTGTACAAACAGAGTGGTCCATGA